ACATTCCTTGTGCAAAACTAGAACTGCTACCATGGAAATGTTGACCTTTGCTTAAACCTGTGCCGGGTGAATGAACCTATTTCAACTACGGTGTTCTATGCGGATGACGGGAATCCCAGTCTTGCGCAATGAATCCTCCCTCTAGTAGTGCTCTTATAGATATTGCACTTGGGAATGTAAAAAAATAAAAATGACAGCTGCGCCTTTTTCAAAATTACCAGCAAATGCTTGTTTTGGTGAAGTGATCCTTGTCATTTCAGCTCGACTTCCGAAACGGTGCGAAACAACTTCGAGAACTCATCTACATTTACAAGCGATTGCTCGACTAGTTTGGATTCATACGATGATGAAAAGTTTCGGCAACGTTTTCGAATGTCGCGGTATACGTTCGAAGTGCTATGCAATGCTTTGGAGCCATGGTTGGGTCCTCGATGGAAGCACACAACGAAAAGCTCAACCGCCATCAGAGTCGGCACAGCACTCGAAATCATGGCAGGGAAGATATCTCCAAAAGAAGGACTAGATCCGACGGGTGCAGAGATTTTCTCTAATGTATTGGATGCGTTGTTGGATTGGTCTGGGAAAGCGATTCAGTGGCCCAGTGAGGGAGAACGGGAGCGAATCAGTAAGAGGTTCGTTTCCATGAATTCGGTCCTCTCTCATTTTCCTGCATGTCAACTTTTTATGATTTTTTTTCTGACGCTCACGTAGCTGGAGGGGGCCGAGCGGCAACCTTTGGCTGCGGCGACTATGATCGTAAAAACGTCCTTGTCGCCGTTCTGAAAGAAATCTCATGGTATTTGTTTCCTCAAGGATAACTAGGTGAAATTACGCTCCTTCAGTTTCTTCGAAATGAGTGGTGTGGATGGAATTGTTGGCTGTGTTGACGGAACCGTAGTAGACCTTCTGAATCCTACGGATGCATCAAATAGGTGAAACTTTTGTTACTTTCATATATATACCATTGTAACCTTGCCTTATTCGATTGCGTCTGAAATGGGAATGATTTGTTTGAGCTGGGTGTGTCTATTCATTATAGGACAGCCTGATGCAATATGTTGGAATTTATACAATGAGGATACATGATCGGCTCCCAGGGCTTGTCCTGTTGTTTGGGAAAACCCTTGCAAAGTACAGACCCTCATATTTCCTCTTCCGGTACACCCCGTCCCCTCCTCCCCATCCTAACCAACCACTTTACTGACTTGACTTTTCCCCAACATCCTATCATATCATAGTCGCCGCAGCCAATAGGTTTGCCGCTCGGCCCCCTCCACTACGTGAGTGAGCGGTCAGAAAAACCACAAAATGCAGGAAAATGAGAGAGGACCGATTCATGGAAACGAACCTCTTACTGATTCGCTCCCGTTCTCCCTCACTGGGCCACTGAATCGCTTTCCCAGACCAATCCAACAACGCATCCAATACATTAGAGAAAATCTCTGCACCCGTCGGATCTAGTCCTTCTTTTGGAGATATCTTCCCTGCCATGATTTCGAGTGCTGTGCCGACTCTGATGGCGGTTGAGCTTTTCGTTGTGTGCTTCCATCGAGGACCCAACCATGGCTCCAAAGCATTGCATAGCACTTCGAACGTATACCGCGACATTCGAAAACGTTGCCGAAACTTTTCATCATCGTATGAATCCAAACTAGTCGAGCAATCGCTTGTAAATGTAGATGAGGTCTCGAAGTTGTTTCGCACCGTTTCGGAAGTCGAGCTGAAATGACAAGAATCACTTCACCAAAACAAGCATTTGCTGGTAATTTTGGAAAAGGCGCAGCTGTTGTTTTTATTTTTTTTTA